TGAAAGGAAAGATGCTGAAATCCAGAAGCTGAAAAATGTGATCACTCAATGGGAGGCAAAGTATAAAGAAGTAAAGACAAGAAATGCACAGTTACTGAAAATGCTTCAGGAAGGTGAAATGAAAGATAAAGCAGAAATACTTCTGCAAGTTGATGAATCACAAAGTATCAAGAATGAGCTAACTATACAGGTAACTTCACTTCATGCTGCATTAGAACAAGAAAGATCTAAAGTGAAAGCATTACAAGCAGAATTAGCCAAGTACCAGGGTGGCAGAAAAGGAAAAAGAAACTCTGAATCTGACCAGTGCAGGTGATTACATTAGCCTTTGAAGTCAACACAAAAATTAAACTTTCAGGGCTTTTCAAAAATGTAGATATTTAATGTTGTGCAGCTGCTAGACTATGCAGTTTTGTTGAAGGAACAACAAGCAACTAGCTAATAGTCTATAAATTTATGGGTTTTGGCTTAAAAGTGAAAAGAAAAAATTAGAATTCCAGTAAAACTTAATGATTATTGTTTACTATCCATACCTCTTGTCACTTTAGTTTTTCATCATTCAATAAATTTACTTTCTTATTCCTCCAGTGTTTGATTTTTTAAAGTTCCATAAACAATGTGAAAACATTATTTTTTGCTTTATAGCTCAGTCAATTAATTGGATTCTCTCAGTTCAACAAATATTTATTTAGCATTTTCTGTGCACTATGCCTTACAGGACAGATGAGTGAAATATGGTTGATGTCCTCAGGTAGCTTATGCTTAGGGGAAATTGAAGATGGAAGAGGGTAAAGTAAAACAAGAGAAAAACTAATTATCATGTGTATTATATTGTTTAGAAACTGAGATTTTTTTTACAAAGTACTTTTGGAAATTTGTTGAAAAGTATTCAGGCAGAAGGAATGAAATCTGGGCTGAAAGGTTTGTTTAAACAATCTGCCCTGAGGACAGTAACTTGACACACTGAGAATAGAAAGAGTACTAATGTATGAGAAGGAATGAATGAGAGATTTTTCATTAATGTAGTCAATTACTAGAATAACTTGTTGCTTATGAGACTTAGGGTTTTTTTAGTATATTCACTAAAATACTGTTATGATTCATTAAAAGAAAGGTTTTCTTTGAGTGTGTAATAACAAAGATGAACACACAGATACTGGTCTTGGCCTCCAAAACCACCATTTCATGAAAGATTTTACTTGTTGACCATATTTGGAGAAAAAAAATTTAAGAGATCATAAAATTGTCATCATTGCTTATATGTCTGTCTTCTCCCATGATGGGTGAATTAATGTGGGGGAGATGGATAGAACTGACTTTTGACATATTAAGTTGGATTTTCTTTTAGAGAATCTAGAAGTAGAGTGGAAATAGAGATCCAGTCCTTTGAGGAGAAGCTAGAGGAATTAAGGATTTTGGATCCATCTGTAGTTACTGTATGAATAATTGACATACTCAAGCATAAGTATTTGAAGAGAAGTATTGCTGAGGACAGACTTTGAGCAGAACACACACACACACACACACACACACGGTGATCAGAAATGTGGGAGGCAAGGTTGTGAAGGTTGTATGGTGGTCTGAGGTTACAAACATGACTTGGATTTAACAGGTGCAGAACACTAATGGCATTCAGAATGGCTTGTTCAGTGGCACAGAGCAAGATATTGAGGAAAAGTTACAATTCTTTAAGACTTGGCAGTTTAAGAAAGAATCTTGGGCTGAGGCTGGAGCTCAGTGGTAGGGTACTTGCCTGCATGTGTGAGGCTCTGGATTCCATCCCCAGTACTAAAAAGGGGAAGAGGGATCTTGAGGTTCCCTGAAAGGAGCTACAGAATGAGTGAGGTTTGGTTGATTTTTATGTAGAACAGAATAGACCTTTAAAATACTCACAAACACAGAGGAAACAGTTAAGAAAACATAGAGACGGGAAGAGGGAAATAAAAGATTGACTTCAAAGCCCAATTAGTTGTTTACTTGCCATCATATAATTGGGTTGCTTTTTAACCATCTCTCACTCATAATTTAACACTAAATTAAGTTGCTCTCTGTTCATGAAATTATGGCCCTTTGAATATGATAATTTTAAGAATGTTTAAACAGAACATGGGGATTTTAAAAAGATATAAAATTATTTTATGACTTACACATTAGTATATTTTCATGATGTGTAGCTATTACCATCCACCGTAGTAAGAAAAAAATCCTAAGATTTCCCAGATTCTGTAAATCATGAGGAATTTTTCTGGGGTAAGTTCTTAGATTGAATTTTTTTAATTACTTTTATTGGTACATTTTATTGGTACACTTTATGTATACAATTCGTTTACATTTATCACTGGGTGTTTGTACTGTACATGATATATCTTGGTTCTTATTTTTTCCCCATTACCTGTAAGCCCTTCACCCCCTCCACCCTTCCCTATTTACATAGATTTCATTTTATTTTTTTTCTTTTCTCATGGTTTTTCCTTTCTCTCTTTTCTTTTCCCCTTCCCCTCCCTTCACTCCTTCATCTTTGGGCCTTTTTTCCTATTTCAAATTATCAGTTATTCATTTTAATCATTTTAACTGTTGTTTACACTATCAGTTTCTCACACTAGTGAAACTATTTGGTATTTACAAATGTGTGTCCTATTTATTTCACTTAAGAGTATGGCCTCGATATGCATCCATTTAGCTATAAATGACTCTAGTTTTTCGTTCTTTATGGCTGAGTAGTACTC